TCCGTAATGATTCAGCGCACGTGCATTTTTTGACAGTGAATAGAATCAAGGCCTATTTGCCAGTTCAGAAGCACTTCGCGTGCGAGAGCAGATGGAAGCTCCTTCGCTGTCGATAATCCGTTTAAAGCAAAGATAATGCATCTGCGCACACGATCGTTTCGAGGCCACACTTTGCTGTTCTGGACGAACATTCGATTACGACCTTCATTCCTGAAAAAGCACCTCTTATGATACAGACAAAATGGCGACTCTGAAATTGGACAATCGACAGGATTCACAGTGAAATGATCTAGCATCTTTTAAAGTTTTCAGAAATCACCGACTTTCTGCATATTAATTCAGTAATGTATTGGGTCCAGTTATTAATATTCTTTGTGCTTGCGTCCGTCGTGCTCGCTCAGCAATGTTGCATCAATCGCTTAATACCTTCGGTACCTGATGTTTCAATATAGCAGCACTGTTTGTCGAATTTCTTCTACTGATGGTATCACCCATCGCTTTTTCCCACAAGAAGATCTGTAGAAGGATTTAGAACTTTGAAGCATGATTCGAAATGATTTACAAATCTTTTGCTGTTATTATCAATGTCTTTCAGCTGTGTGTTTAATGTATTGCATATTAGACGTACTGCAACCATTTGAGTGCGACCTACGACGGTGCGCTTTGTCGATCTGTGCACAATCCTCCATCAACCTCGTTTCGCTTATTATTTACTGAGTCACCGTTAAAACTTATGGTCCTCCATCAGACTGGTCTGGGCGCACCACGAACACTCGACCCTCTCCCAATCTTGTATCGTGTCGAGTGTATTTTGGAGAGTCGTGGTTAGGCAATTCACTTACACTGCAAATCCCCGTGACTCCCACCCGACGAATTCAAAAACTGAAGCACCGTTCATGGACGGATGTAAATGACGAGCGACAGGCAATCACCGTCTCAAAATACCTGAGCGAGCTATTACACCGTATTCCATCTTTCACTTTATCAGGAAAATACCAATGCCGGCTTTTTGAATAAGGATTTTGTTTAGGCCAGCCCTTCAGAATGTATAGAGATGTAGAAGACATTAATCATTGTTCTCTTCACTCAATGCATTGCAATCTGCTACGGAAAGAAGAGCACATTGATCATCTCTTTTGTCCGATGGAAAAGATTGGTTTGACTTATCCACCGTCCATCATTACGGACCCCTTCGAGGAACTGGACTCTTCAGAAGAAGAGGTAGGAATTAAAAGCTTCGGTTTAAACGATATGCTAATTACACACTGTTCATAGGAGGACTCTGGAAAACTACTGATTTCTTTGGCGTATTATCCGAAGGAGGAAACCTTACGCGTGACTGTAGAGCGTGGAATGGAAATCGATACCAGCTGCAATTGCTCGTGTATTTTCTCGATGTGAAAGGCACTGTTCATTTTTGTTGACTTTAGATTTTTATCTAAAACTGTGGCTCGTCCGCAACGAAACCGCTGAGAAGCGGAAAAGTTCCATCAGGCGCCGGAGCTCATCACCTGTTTTCAATTGTCATTTCGACTTTTCGGTACAATTTGAAGAACTCGGCAGCTTGCAGTTAGTAGTCGCTGTAAGTATTAAATTTGCATGCAATTAAAAATAATAAAATAAGTGAAAACTTAGAATTACTGTTTTGCAGAACAATGGACTGTTAGAAATTACAGTTTCAAAAGCAACGTTAGTGAAACGAGCTCCTGTTTTTTTACGGTTTTAAAGCGTATTCTATATTTAATTGAAAGGAACAAATTATTTGTTCTTCGTCACGGTTATATAACGATAAATTGGTTAGCTGTCTAAAAAGAACTTCCTCTTACTCCTTACGCAATCAGATTACGGTCAGTACAAGGAAAGGATGAAGAGAGCAGCGTACAGAAAACGGTCTTGTTTTTTTTGGTACGGGAATCATAGCCACAGATTGCCACGGGATCTAGTACGCTCAGTATCTGTAGCTTCGATTGGTTACTCTTGTGGCGTGGTCGAACACTTCGTATGAGGTCATCTTCGAACTCCGGAAATGCCGGATTCGATTCAGGCGAACGGCAATCATTGTCTGAGCCATAAATTCCCTCGAATACGCAACAGACCACAATTTGCTCTAGATCAGAATTACTCAGTGGCGAAAGCGTCGAGTTCATGACCGAGATGGCCCGGATTTGAGTCCAAACATGACTTTCTATGACGTCAGGGCGATCGATGGTAGTCATCAGCGCAAAGTTCTTTGATCGTGAGTTTGCGTCTGTGTGATTGTAGTAGGTAATCTGGATCAACTGTTACATTCAGCCCACCCTGTCACATGACCATGAGAAGTTCTCCGTGAGCACAATGCGAAACTTATATGAAACTACTGAATTTTAGAGTTTCCGTTTTTCTGACTGCGAGAACTCATTAACTCTGTGAGTTTCGTGCGGTCATCAGTTTGCCTGCATATATTAACCAATGTTTGCCTTTGTACTATTTCCTAGGGTTCCATCATTTACTCATCAATAAATAGCTCTCAAAAAGTACAATACCAGAAGTCTGTAAAATTAGTGAATTTCGAAGTTAACGGTTTTGCTTTATGGCGGTGCGATTGCTCGAGCTCTAATTCTGCACAACTCCACTTCGCTAGGTTCGCCACCGCCATTCGGACTTAATTTATCATATTGCATATCAATGGAATGGTCACTGAGAGCATAAAGTGAATCCACTGTCAAATTTTTGAACATTCAATACTGCTATTTCATTTCATGATTTTATATTATGACTTGAAAAGTCATTACGATCAGCGCAACCACTTTTAATCATTATTTTTGCCAAATTGTTGAGCTGGAACAAAGAGACGAATAGAAGCGTCCAATTGTTTCACAGAAAAATGTATGAAAATAAATTTATATATGTATATATTTATACTTGCTTTTATATAATGTAATATGCGATATTTTCATGCAGATCTGGTTCACCCGCATAACTAATGGTGCCGTATTTGCTTTATGGTCTTAATCGACCGCCTGATGTTTGCCGTCCATATGTCGTTGACGTCTGTTCCGTACCCACGATTGGTGCAGTTGGTCGCTCGGATCAATAGCGTTTCC